AATAACCATTTGTCAAATTTTGCCATACTTTTTCTACATTAGGTATTTTCCAACTATTAAATTACTGAACTCATATTTGATTATTATTTTTTGGTAACCTATGTATTTGAAGTGATATTATATTTTATAAGTATTTTATTTAAGTATTTTATGTGGGTGTATCAAATTTAGTATAAAAGTATTAATATATTTTATTCGTTGTTATTTTCTAAATGTTTTATTATAAAGCATTTTGCCCTATCGCCATACCATTTGTCTCTAACACTCGTTCAGGTTGCCTGGTAGAGAATGCCTATGGCATTAAGTCCGCCGTTTGCGTATGTATGGCAATGAAGTTTAAATAAATAAATAATATTAACTATAGTACAACTTAGTAAATAAATCAAAGTATGACTTCAGTAATTTATTAGTTGAAAGGTGCATCCGAAGCTTTGGCACCAAAGGTTTCTTTACTTGATTAAGAAAGAAAAACAAATGACGCCCAGACAGACGCCATATTCACAGTCATTTGTTAAAATTATATAGAAATTACGGAACGTTGCACTGGCGCTGCCTGCAGTAAGGTGCGCGCAGTGCTTTCACAAAACGAGCAAAGGACAAAATCCGGAGTCTATAGTTAACGCTAATAATTGTTCACCACAACTCGGCACAATCAGACGTGTCGCAAATGATATCAAAGCGGTGGGACAGGGACGCACTCTGGGGCAAGGGGGGCCCCGATCTTTTCTATCCATTCATTGGGGTCCACGAGCTTAATTTTAATGGGTAAGAGTTAATATATCGCCCTTTAACGACCTTAAGCACAAATTCAACTCGCCGCATTAAAAGTAAACTTTAGAAAAGCTAGGTTAAACTTATAATGAAAAACGAATACATACAAGCATGTTCTGGAAGAGCAAACTTTAAGTTTCTGCCAAGAATAAATGAAACATGTTGTGTGAGTTAAAAGTTTTAAGCTATAATTAAGTAACATAATTTTAATAATGATATTGCTTTTAAGCACATAATTACAAAATTAGAAAGGCTCGTTTGAAATGTAAACCGGGGACAAAATAATTATCACCCATTTTTCAATATTGAATAAGCCAAGCGATTTTTAAAAATGTTTTATAAAAGATTTTGTAATTCAAGCTATTTAGATCCTGTAATCGTAAAAACAAATCATCATTACTCCTTCACACACCTATGTTTAAAAACTCGACTCCACCCAGTAGCGCCCTAAGTACACCTCTGTCGACAGACAGCTACATGTCACGTTTTCTATTACACATCGCAGATTTAAATTCGCAATTACGCCGAGTTTTATTACAAAGGTGCAGACTGCGAGCACATTCGAGTACAGAAGGGTTTAGACATATAACCTCATTCGTACAAATTGCTAGGCTGCGGTCAGTTAGTGTTAACAGCTGTTCGCTGGGACGAAATATAATAAAAAAACGCGGCGTTAGTTTTGTATGTGGTTTTTGAGGTAGATCAGTTCCCCTAGCACGAACCATTATCGAATTCGAATAGTTGGCAAACCGAAATGTCAATGCCTTTTGTATGGAAACTTGAACAGCAGCGGCTCAAAGTAGCTACGTAACGAGAACTAAAAATCAGTACACATTTGACACAATGACATTTCGGACTCGCAAACGATACGAATGCGATATTGGTTCGTGCTAGGGGTACTGGTAGGTACCGAGTTTTTGTTTACACAGTCATATTAACAAAGGTTTATGAACTTATTCTACGTAAATGGTTAAGTTAGGAAGGAGGTGCAATCAATTTGTGCCAAGACGGGTTTAATGCCACAAGTATTAAAATTACAGCATTAAAATTGTATAAATATCAATAACAGTCCCACATTTGATATTTTATAAGATCAGATATAGTCCGGCAACAACAACGAAAAGATGCCAGCTTATCTCCTACAAGTTCTACTATTAACACTATAAAATAAAGTGCTGGCGCATTTAATAATTGTATGCCCCTCCTAATCCAGCATGTGGAGTTAGTTATCAAATTAATGACTGATTCGTGCAATTGAAGCTATGTGTGGCTTAAGACTTTGTAGTTGCCATCAATTCGATGCTTCACAATTCAAAGATCAGCTATGAAATCATATTAGAACTCCGTCATCAAATCAAAAGGACATTTTTATATGAGATGCATCAAAACCCCACCTCTTCTAATGTTATGTATAAGCAGACTGAGGAGCTCGATTGCGCAAATGGTTAGCGCGTTCGGCTGCGATCGTTGAAGTTAAGCAACTTTCGCAGTGGTCGGTCATTCGATGGGTGACCAAAAATTACTATCTCGAGCTCCACCGTGCTTCGGAAGGCACATTAAGCCGTTGGTTGGTTGGTCGTAAAATTTTATTAGATTAAAAAATCCAAGCGGACCAGGCAGCTTACGCAGACGGGACTCGAACCGCACCTTCCGCTATCCGGGTGGATGCACTGACCATTATGCTACCGCGGCTCTAATTGTCCGGGTCGAACTTTTCTCGTACTTGTCAGGCTGGGAGACAGCGCCATCTCTTCGCATTGTAGGTAACCCACAATGTCAAATGAATACCTTTACAAGTATTAAGCTTTTACACGAAAAAATTGCAATTGCATTGCATAATTGTGTTGTGTTGCAATGTTTTTAACTTCGTTAAGCATTTAACTGTTAAATGTTTAAAAGAAAATAAATACCTACTTACCAATAATAACAACACCACAAGAGATGCAACAGTGAGAGAGTATTATTTGACTTTTTTTTTTGTTTATAACATAGGTTGATGACTATGACGACCTCCGTGGCCGAGTGGTTTGTACGCCGGGTTTCATGGTGTGGCCGACTCGAGAGGTCCCGAGTTCGAATCCCGATGGGAGCAGATGTTTGTGTGATGAATACGAGCATTTGTAGTCCAGTCATATATGTTTAATATGTATTTCTATATAAATATACTTATATATGTACAATATATATATATTCTATCCGTTACCCTAGCATCCCATAACACAAGCCTTACAGTGCTTACTTTGGGTCTAGGCTAATTGGTGTGTGTTGGAAAAAAAATAGGTTGGGTCCAAATTAGTGCCCGGAAATCCCGGAATATCCTAATTAGACTGCTGTTATGAGTTAATTTTGAGACTCGGCTTCTTCAGTTGATTCCATTGCCGTAATTAATGTAAATTATTTACTTATAAAATCATAAAATGCCCCAAGTTAGTCAACTGAATAAGCCATGTTCAATATTCAAATTAAGATTTCAGAGAAATAAGACATAGGGATTATTCTTGATATTTAATGATAGCGCAAACGTCTACTTCATAGTCTATGGTGGCTGGTTAAAATAAATCGTGCTTCACTTTTAAACTAAAATAAACATGCTTATCATATTTCTCTGGCTAAGGTAAGTTTTAAATATATTGACATAAGCGCTTTTAAAACATAAGGTCTCAAGATTTTTTTTACTAGAAAAAATCCACGCGGACCATGCAGCAGACGGGACTCGAACCCTTTCGCTATCGCTATTATTCTTCTAGTAAAAATTTCATTACATTTAAAAATCTATCAGTAAAATGCTTAATAAATAAAAAAATATACATAACATCAGATCTCATCTAGAGTAGCAATAGTTTCATATACTTACAACAATATTCACACCATCACATCAGATTACTGGTAAGCGTTATTTAATGAATATCGTTTTATTGTTTCGGCAGTTCACATGACACTAAATGTGGTTTTGATGTGTGGCATCCAGATCTGTTGATAACCCAGTCAGGTGCTTAGAATGTCACCAAATTACCATTCGAAATTGTCGTCGTTTGCCCAAATCTTTATATGACATGTCTGATGGGTCATTTAATGCAAGCAACGTTGTGTCAGTATACTGGTGTTGTTCTAATTTCACTTTTATGATATGAAAGAGTTACAAGATTTATAATGGAGAAAGGCCGAATAAAAATGATTTGGTTAGAGTCTGTGCGGAAAGAAAATGGGCGTGGCGAAAAACGGAACTAACATTAAGATTTTTATTTGGCAATCAAACCTAGCAATCTGTAAAACGTCAAAGTTTTTTATTGATACGGATTTGTTTGTTGTTGTAATTTCTTGCGGTTTTTTGTATTTAATCATGTAAAACCTTACAAATACGGTAGAAAAGCACTAAAACGCCCTCCAATCTAAATCCCATTCTCTTTCCGCACAGACTTTAACATCACCACTTTAAGAAAGTTCGAAAAAATTTTAACAAAAATAAATAGAAAAGTATAATTTAATAAATTGATCCAATAATACTTATCTACCTATGTGTATCAGTTTATTATAATTTGTTTAAATAACACAAGCTTCATAGGACTAGTCTGAGGAAAAGAGATAGATTGAAGGAGTGATGAAACTCTTCAAAAATCTTTTAAAAACACCATCTTGGATATTTTCTTATTAAAAACTTAAGTATTTAAAATGCATAAATTAGTATAAAAATTAAGTAAAGAGCCCTCTTACACTTTAAACTAAGATTTTAAATAAACTTCGTGCTGCCAGCGTGCTTTACGAGAAAAGCTAGTCTAAAAATATACAAGATAAAGCATTTCTTCTTCCTTAAAAATCATTTACGTTTTCCAAATTTCCCCAAATCTAACGTAAGTACTGAGCAAAATACAAGGAATTTTTGTTCCTATGTACCTTAATAAATTCCGTGACAAAAACAAACTAGGTAGCGTTACCTTGCGGATCAAAAACGAAGCTTAATACGGAAAAAGCACAACAGAGCACTTACAAAAGCACTCAGTTGAACGTAACTTTTTAGTAGTTTATAAGGTACCTAACAGATGGCGCTACAAAAAGTAAAATGATTTCTTCACCAATTTAAATTAAGTAGAAGGTACATACTATTTTACATTAATTTGTTTCTTAAATTCAACTAAATAAAATTTCTATATTTTTACATATAATATATTTACGCGTTTCCCGATAACCTTCAGGCGGAAAATTTCGACACCATCAATCACGAATGAATAATAATCATTGTTACCTATTGTATGATAAAAAAGCTTTTACGGTAATGGAACGGCTACTGCACGTTGGCAGATAATTCAAGTTGGTGTGATACATGTATACACGACTGTGCCATCACAGTTAAACCCGTGATGTGATATTGTGAAGAATTATGTTGACGTTATTTCCCTAAGCATGGACGACGATGATTTGTTGAATGTAAGTAAAGTCATGCAAGTTTATTATTTTATAAAAAAAAATATGCAAATCTGGTGTTTTGCGCGTTTTTTTTTATTAAACGCGTGACTACTTGATTTAGTTACGAACCTTAAGTAAACCTTAGGGTAAATTGTGAAATAAGTACATTTCCCTTGTGTAATTAGTTCGTCTACCCTTCGGGTAAAATAATGAACATAACTAATTACTTTATTTAATTACCTATAAATATTAGTTATGTACTTTATTTTACCAATATTTGGCTTCGATGCTATGTTTTTCACTTCTTTCTCTACTTTCTTTGTCATAATAAATGATCACCACCTGGAAGCTTGGTATTTTATCACCATGCAATATGCGTGTTTCTTTTTCTTGCGTTCCAGCAAGATCTTGAACGAACTTTATTCAGCAGTTTTTCCTTTCAGCTATGATATGGAGGTCTTACGAAGGCGGCTAAGTTAACCTTTTCCTTCAAAGCCAGCAACACAGGAGTGATACACTTTGTGCTGGAATTATCCATGCGCGACAGTGAATACTTTCCATCACTGTCAGCTCGTTTGCCTGAATAAACATAAAAAAATGGGTGCGTGTACTTATGTAGGCGCGTGAGAAGTTATCTTTCTTTGGCATCGTTTAAAATTAATTTTTAATTGCATGCAAATAATTAATTACAATAAATTAATAAAAAGTCTGGAAAAGGACGAAGTCAATAAAGTTCAGTTTTAATTTGAAAAAATAAATAAATAATCAAAATATTCAATTAAAATCGCTACTGAATATAATTTATTAGAACATATGTGATTTGCACTTGTATGAAACTCAAACACGTATTCCGAATATACAAACTAGACACATGTGGATAAATATTATAAATATGAATACCTATAACTGTTACTTTATTACAAAAAATAAAGATGTGGTTTTTGGTTCTACTACACCAATGGTCAAGAGATGGCGCTGTAGTCTCCTGAATCGCGCTTTGGTTCCGTTGTTCCAGATTAATAAATACTTTTTGTTACTTTATTACAACCAATAAAGATGTGGTTTTTGGTTCTACTACACCAATGGTCAATAGATGGCGCTGTAGTCTCCTGAATCGCGCTTTGGTTTCGTTGTTCCAGATTAATAAATACTTTTGATAGACCTTCACAATCAAGTCGTTAGCACCCACAAAATAGAGATTCTATTTCTATTTTGTTGGTAGATTTTCTTAATGTGCGGTAAACACAAAAGTAACAGCATGCTGTTAATTTTTTGTGTTACAGTGATGCGCGCTCATCTTAAAATTTCACTCTCATCATTTTTTCATAACGCGCTTAAAGAAGTATAACTTCAAAAATCCTTCATATATAGTCTATCCATTTATTTTCTTGAACTGCTTCTAATTAATGAGTCGCGTAGCGGGTTCCGTAGTTAAATAATAACACAACTGGTTAATGTATTGGAGTATAATTTCTGACTGGGCCTTTTACAACAAAAAATATAGGAATATGTAATTAGTCTATAAACAAAGAAATGAGTGGAGGAGATATGTTGACTGCATCACGTTATTAACTATTTATCACGGATGTTACGTGCGATGAATATTGTGCTGAGGGCACACGCCGTTTACAATCACATCACATCTCTTGTTATATCCGTCTGTATCATGATAAGCGGTTCCCTCACTTAAGTAAAAGTTTATATTGTATCCCGAATTATTTAATAGCTTCCAATCGATTTTCCTAACATTTTTTTTTCTTCATAACATGTTTTAACATCTCTACGTACGAATGAAATAAAATTAGCCGATTTGTTCACTTCGTTTTTAAGTGATGCTTTGGATATTTTGTCATTTAAATGTAGGTAGAGATTATTCTTACTGAGTAGGTTGCCAAAGGTCTATTCTATAGGTTTAAAGATTAGAATGACAAGATCGAAGAACTCAAAAGTGAAAGAAGTCACTTCAAGAGGGCCACGCGCGCTGGCCAACCTTGAGCCCTTACATACTTAGGATCGTCACCGAAAGCGAGATTATTTCTGTACTAGCAAACCAGTGAACCAAATGTTCACCAAAAAGAAAAAAAAATGTATTTAATTAATTGAGAACTTCGGAGATGAAATAGAAATCACGTGATTTCTCGAAAACCGGAAGTGCTACGTTACTCACATCCGGTTTGTAGTCTTATCAGACTATTCTTAACTTATAACTTAAACATTCTCTATATCTACCTCTTACGGTTTGGCCGCTGAAACAGCACCACGGACGGACGGACGGACTTGTCTAATAGATAAGAGATGAGATCACCTGACGGACTTGTGGTGGACAAGCGGCTATAATAAATGTATGTGTCACTACTTCTGCGCCGTCATCTGATTCTCGTTGATGTCCAGGTGACGGCCGCGATGGTGGCCTAACTATGGCCACCATTCCAACTAGAACAAAAAGAACCGACTTACTGTGGTCACTATTCCTACACGAACAAAGGAATTTCTTGACTCATTTCTTTGTCGTACTATTCGTAAGTGGAATTTTTTACCCGTGCACGTGTTCCCTCCTTCCTATAATCTGGGGTCCTTTAAGAGAGGCGTGAAGAAGCATTTTTGCAGGCCGGCAAGGTGGATGTGGTTGGTATAGCAGTTTATAACTTCTGTACCAGCTATCTTCGCGTTTGGACTTTATCACCACTCAACATCAGGTGGGGTAGAGTCATTAGCCTACCTCGCCATGAAAAAAAAATTGGCTTCCCATTTATCTGTCGCACCATTCGCGAATGCTTGGGGACAAAGCGCGTTCCCTTCCTCCTACAACCCAGGATCCTTTAAGAGGCGCTCGAAAGCAACTCACTGGCTGGCAAAGTGAGGATGGCCGATGAGGCAGGTGAAACCACAGCATAGGGTAGGGTGGAGCCATTATCTCGTAAATTAAAACAGTTTGGATGATGACGGGGTAAAGTAAATGGAATTCTGTTTAGTCCGATATCAAAAAACAGCGGACACATATGTTTTCTTTCGTCAATTTTTTTAATGTTTTATGTATTTTCTTATGACTTCTGAGATTTTAACGTTTATTCCTTCCTGCCGTTCTGTTGATGGCAATTGGTCCTAAAAATATAATTTAATTTCATTTAATTCGTTGAGCTACTTTATATTTTATTTCAAAATATAGTCCCATCCCATATCCATTGGTTACACTTAACACCAGCAATTTTCTAAAAACAGAAGGTTTTTTTATTGGTTATAATAAATTGCAAAAGACGCACCAAATTTGCGCCACCGATTAAAAGCATGTATAGTAAAGCTCTTAGTTTAGTTTAGTTTTTCAGGGCGGTTTACGCACTTAGTCCCAATTATTGGACCATTGTGCGTGTCTCAAAAACATTTCCGTTTACTCCAGCCAGCCTATATGGGTCCAGAGGGAAATCAGCCTTGGTAGACTGCTGCAAGCTTCCGGAAACGATTCTAGGGACTGGAGAAGTCGTGCCCGTTGGTAGGCCACCCTCCTGCATTCCATGATGACATGCTTTTGCCTTTCTTCTGCCTCCATGCATCCTATGCATAGGGGGCTGTCTGTTACTCCTATTGTATAAAGGTGTTTGTTTAGGGGACAATGACCAGTCAGGGTCCCTATTATCCTGCGAAGTTTGTCCCTATTTAGTCTGGTAAGGGTGCGGGCAAAACTTTTATTTGCCACCGGAACCGCGTTTTTCGTTTGCCGGCATCCTTTACCTATTTTCGATTCGAGTGCGATTTCTGAGTTATTTCACGCAGCCACGTTTTAAATAGTAAAACTCTTTAGCAAAGTAGTATAATTCAAAAAAATGGTTGCCTGTAAAGTCGGTTTTACGGGCGAAGATTTTACGTGACAACGTCTTTTTCTCGGTAGAATATTTATTGATATGAATATAATTAAATTGCACAATAGGAACAAGGAATTGAATGAAAATAAGAATTGCACAAATTTTAACTATAGAAATATATTTTGTTTACTAAAAAATTGTACATGTAAACTTAAACTTAACACGAGAGACTCATCGTAACGTTACCGAGCGTTACACTTTTTCATAAGTGACTCCCAGCCGCAACCTAATTTAAGACGTTGTCACGTCAAAATATTGATATGAATATAATTAAATTGCACAATAGGAACAAGGAATTGAATGAAAATAAGAATTGCACAAATTTTAACTATAGAAATATATTTTGTTTACTAAAACATTATACATGTAAACTTAAACTTAACACGAGAGACTCATCGTAACGTTACCGAGCGTTACACTTTTTCATAAGTGACTCCCAGCCGCAACCTAATTTAAGACGTTGTCACGTCAACAAGAGATTATGATTTGATTGATCGTTGATATACTCTTTTTAGCGATAAAAATCATGTCGCGGATTGCTATGTTGTTACGTTATTGTTGCTTACGAATAATGTAAAGGGAATTTCCCGATATAAGTAAACTTACCTTTAAATGCTTTATGTACCCTTAATGCTGTACCACCCCTTAAGAATAACGTTATGGGTGGACAGCTATTAAAAATAGGCTTATCGCATCGGATTAATGGTGTTTACACGAAAAAATCAGTAGCGTACACGAGTCGGCTTCATGTTATCGAATAGATAAAATTCCTACAGACAAAATGATTATCATGTAACTAAATTCATTGATTTACATTAAAAGGCCAACTTGCATCAAAGCTTTTAATTCAAATTTAAAAGCTAATCATGTCCAAGCCTCATTCTATGTCTATTGGACTTTAAGGAATTGACAAAGATGGGATGACGTGTTAAACACTCATCATCATCATCATCAGCCTATTAATGTCCCCACAGCTGGGGCACTGGCCCTCCCTATGGATAGAATAGGGAGATTGGGCCATGACCAACCACGCGGGCCCAGTGCAGATTGGTGGGTGCTAACGACTGCAGAAGCAGCCGGGACGGCCGGGACGGCTTAACGTGCCTTCCGAAGCACGGAGGAGCTCGAGATAGTAAATTTTTGGTCACCCATCCAATGACCGACCACTGCGAAAGTTGCTTAACTTCAACGATCGTAGCCGAAGCGCCAACCACTTGTGCCATCGAGCTCCTCGTTAAACACTATTATGCTGTAATTTAACTTAAGAAATTTGTTGCAAGTATCGAACAGAAGTAAGATGTAAGGCTAAGTTCAGATTGTTGAAATAGGTCGGAACGCGCGTACATAACGCGACAAAATCGACGAACTCCGTGGCCGAGTGGTATGAACGCTGGGTTTCAAGTAGTCGCCTACTCGAGAAGTCCCGGGTTCGAGTCCCGATCTCAGATGTTTGTGTCATGAATACGAGCATTTGTACTCCAGTCATGGTTGTTTAATATGTATTTCTAAATAAATATATTTATGTATGTATCAATATATGTGTTCTATCCGTTACCCTAATATCCCATAACGCAAGCCTTACAGTGCTTACTTTGTGGCTAGGCTAATTGGTGTGAGTGTTGGAAATATTTATTTTTATTTATTTACATATCATTGCTCGATTGCATTAAAGATCTCGAAGGCACAAGTGGTTAGCGCGTTCGGCTGCGATCGTTGAAGTTATGCAACTTTCGCAGTGGTCGGTCTTTGGAGGGGTGACCAAAAATTTACTATCTCGAACTCCTTCGTGCTTCGGAAAGCACGTTAAGCCGTTGGTCCCGGCTGCATCTGCAGTCGTTAGCACCCACCAAGCCGCACTGGGCCCGCGTGGTGGGTCATGGCCCAAGCTGCCTATTCTATCTGTAGGGAAGGCCTGTGCCCCAGCAGTGGGGACATTAATAGGCTGATGATTTTTTGACGATATTTTGGTTCACAACTATGTTAAGAGTACCCTATCATAATTGCGGTGGTGATATCCTCACAAAAATTAGGACTATACAATATAACTATTTAAAAGCTTTATCAGATTTTTTCTTTATTTTTTATTGCACAAAACAGTTACAGCAAGCAAAATGGTAAAAGACACAAAGAAAAACAGTTGATAAAGAAATACTGAACTCCACTAGCATGTGCAAACAGCATGCTTATACAATAATACACAGAAACCGTACACAAAAAAATCAAAATTTTTAAAATTACATTAAAACATTTTTTTTATCAAATTAGAAATAGAAAATTAAATGAATTATAAATTAAGGCATTTAAAACAGAAATTAAATAAAAAAAAAGTAAATTCAATAAATAGTGTTAAATAATTGTAATAGTAGTTACATCAATGGTATTAATTAATTAATATATTTTTTTACATTGCCTTTCCAACTTGTTCAGCGATTGACCGCAGATGTCAGGTACTCCGTTCAACCCACACAATAAATCTACAATTTTGGTACCTTTTTGTTTTTTTTTAGGCTTATTGTTTCCACATTCATGTCCGCTAACTTTATTTCCTCTACATATAAAATACTAGAGGTCGCCCGCGACTTCGTCTGCGTTAACTAAGTTTCTTGAAAATCCCTCTGGAACCTAACATTTTTTCGGGATAAAAGTAGCCTATGTGTTAATCTAGGGTATCAGCTATGGAGTTAGCAAATTTTATTAAAATCGCTCCAGCCGTTTAGACGTGAAGAAGTAACAAACATACACACTCACATACTCACACACTCACAAACTTTCGCCTTTATAATATTAGTGTGATTAAACTGTAGTACATATTGTTTGTAATATTTTCATACCTATCTATTATTCCAGCTTGATACATCGCAATATGACTTCCCCAACGTGCTGTGGCACACCTTGCCACCAAAAGAGATGGCCATTAAAACCACGGCGATGCTGCTAATCGGGGTCTCTGGTATTACTTTCAATTCCATCATCCTCATAATTTTAATCAAAAACAGGTAGGTTGACTTGATTCTAGCATGTCTATAAACCTAAAACTAAATTTAACTGAGCTATTAATAGTTTTTTAATATGTAGATAATAAATGTATTAATGTCAACAAAAGGTAGAACAATAATTACAAAATAAATATTTCATTGAGTTCGCCTATGCGGGGCACGGTCCCCAGAAGACTGGCAGCGTTGCCTCGCTGTATCGCCAAACTAATTCTTTGAGCAAAAAAGCTACCAGATCTTGGGTCCCCCGTAGCCTCGCGAAGGCGAGCAGTCATATCCTCAATTATAGTTATAAATATTTTTCACTAACAATGTAAGTGCTTGATGTTTAAATCTAAAGAAAATATAACTAGAAAAAAATCCACGCGGACCAGGCAGCAGACGATAATTTGAAGAAGTAGGTGGGATACTTAAAATAGGATTTATCCTAAGGGGTTTGTGGGAACTCCAAACAAAATCTTTGATAGGAGTTCCGGGCAGTCAACAGCCCCAGAAGCGATTCTACTGAGGTAAACTAAATCCGCAATTTCGAAAAAAATGAAACCCGAAAACCTTCAAAGAAAGAGCGTACTCCTTCCTTAAAAGCCGGCGTCGCATTTGAATGTAACACTCTGTTGATGTTAAGATGGGTGACCAAAAATTTATTATATCGAGTTCCTCCGTGCTTCGGAAGGCACTTTAATCCGTTGGACCCGGCTGCATCTGCAGTCGTTAGCACCCACCAATCCGCACTTGGCCCGCATGGTGGGTCATAGCCTAATCTACCTATTCCATCCATAGGGAAGGCCTCTGCCCCAGCAATGGAGACATCAATACGCTGATAATGATGATGATGGGCGACGATGAACACTCACCATCACCTTATTCTTATATTTATAATAGTTTTACAAGCTTTCCGCCCTAATTCTGCAGGTTTGGGAAAAACATCATACAAATCATCTTTATTTGTATGATGCTTTCCCCAACACACAACCCAAAGGTTCGTCACGCAGGTGTGGGATAAGCATTCTACAACCTCTTTTATGCGTGTCAAAAATTGGCAGTCCAGCTATCGTGTAGCGGCTATAAAGAAGCAGCTCTAAAATTCACTAAGATACGAGAACTGAATCTAAATTTTAAACGCTTTTTTTAGTGCTTTTACCTAGGTTCGTGGCACTGGTATGGGATAAGCATAAGAAAAAAATGATAGTTATTCAAGTTATTTAATATTTTTAGTCTTTTCATACATTTTCAAATGAAACTACTCTTATCATGCTCACTCTTGCTTGCTTACTCTTATCGGAAAAATTAAATCATACTGAAAATTTTTGTACTCAGTTAAGCGCCATTTACACGATGCAAGTTTCTTGTCTGTTGCATACAATTAAATTGAAGCAATAAATTACTTGGTGGTCTGAACAATTCGTCATGTGGTATACAAATTCTGCTTCAAAAAATACTTAGTGTAAACAACAGCACACAAAGCGCCATTTACACGATACAATTTTCTTGTAAATACAAGAGTAATAATTGCATACAATTATGGAGGCGCAATAATTGACTTTCAAGAATTGTAAGCAACTAATAAAAACGTAAAAAGGTTGCATACAATTATTGAATGCCAGTTCTGTCAATAAAGAATTGCAAATGTCTTCACGTTTACACCAACACAATTATTGTAAGGAAGTTATTGCTTTCAAGTATTGACATGTCTTAACACAGGCTTGTATGTGCGTGTATCATTTTTATTTTTGAAGAGTTGCTTCAAGAATTGCACGTATTTGCGTGGGTGAATATTTCGTTCAAGTGTTCGACGTTTTGGATCTGGATTTGTTTATAAACAATACTATAAGCCAAAATAGTATTTAAATTCGGTTCTGCTGATTTAATTAAGTTCATTGAAATATATCGTAATCATGAGGGTTTATGGGTCATTAAAAGTGTGAATTACAAGAATCGTGATGTACGTAATGCTGCTCTATAGCAATTTGCTCCGGAATTTGGAGTTGTTGATGGATTTCGAACCAAGAAATATTAAACAATAAATTACGTAAGTATCGTGGAACACTCGGTTGGAACGAAGCAAGCGAAGGAGATTATTTACTAAGGGGAGAATAATAATTGAAAAGGCGAGAGCGTTTTTGAATCTAGTGTAGGATTTTGTAGATAAAAGACTGTATCACATTTTTAGCATAATTTTATTCTTACTATACGAAGAAGACATTATTTATTTATAATTCCGAATTTGATTTCCTAATAAACAAATGAACGAAGCCGAAATATATTTCGCGCGTTTGTATTTTGTCTTACTTTCTTGGGATTAAAAACGCTATCCTGGTCCCTAGGAATCAAAACGCTATTTTGGTCCCTAGGAATCAAAACGCTATTTTGGTCCCTAGGGATTAAAACGTTATGTCGGCCGTTGTAAATAGAGAACAAATTAGCTTCGCTTCGAATAAATGGGATAAAAATATTTATATAACCCACCAATCCGCACTGGGCCCGCGTGGCGATTCATGGCTCAATCTCTCTATTCTATAAAAAAGGTATCCCACTCATGAGCCCAACGGACCAAAAAGGAACTTTTTTTCCAATAAAAAAAATAAGGACGCAGATCATGGGGATAGGAAAAAGATACCATGGGCACCGTCCCGGTACTGATAATGTTTACAAGTCCAAACTTTCTTGGTAAAAAGAAAACGTCGTAAAAAAGAATCCATTAAATTATATAATGGATTCTTTTTTTCGACGTTTTCTCAATATGTCTTGGCTCAGCAGAGCAGAAACGATTAACACACCATCACTTACTGCACACATGTTTGCAAGTGATACAAGAATTGAATACAAGAAATGCTTAAGAAATTATTGTATGTGCTGTTTACATTCAGAAAAGTTTTGAAGCTAAACACCACATCAAGAATGTTATGTACTGTTTAGACCATGCAAGAAACTTGCATCGTGTAAATGGCGCTTAAATGAGTGTAGGAACTGGGATTTTCAGTTAATTTATTTTTATTAGTAATAGTAAGTACTTTTTGCAGGTGGCTTTGGAATGCAAGCAACTACTTGATAGGCAACTTAGCCTTCGTTGACCTGATCACTCTGATATTCTGCCCCTGGTTCATGTTAGTGAGAGATTTCTATCAAAACTTCGTTCTGCAAAATTTCGGGTGTCAGTTTGAAGGTTTTATGCAAGGTGACTTTGATTTTATATCCTTTTGTGCAATGATTTTAATTAAAGTTGGATTTTCTGAGTAGCATAGCGTTAGCTGCCTATAGCAGAGACAAAGTTTGCCCCTTTAGCCATGTGAGAACGCATTTCCTTGTTTGATTGTATTTTTTTTTCTTTTATCACCCCAATTTTTTGTAAGGGCTCAAAAAATCTATAATGTTTCATTAAATCTTTCACGTGAAATATTTGTTAGTTAAAAATTTCTGCAAAAATTCCTCCTTAATAACTTCTCAATACTTTCCAGCCACTCTTTTGCTAGCCAGCGTGGGTGCTGTTATGTTAGTCTCCTACGACAGATTGGCTGCAGCTGCGTTAACACAAGACGCGAGGATCACGAAACCGTATGTCCCTAGGTTGATTGCAGCGACCTGGTTTGTGTCAATAGCGTTATCACTGCCCTGGATTATAAAGAGGGAATACAAAGTGAGTAAAACTACAGCTATCCTACCTATTACTTTTACTCTTTTAAATGTCTCATTATGGTTGTTATACAAGAGGTCTATATAGTATATTACCTTAAATAAATAACACTATTAGTATTTTGTACTGTATGACACAGCAATCAAAATGTAGGTGAACAATTAATGTATATTTCACATTGTGTAATGAAAGGTGACTTGATGAATCATCTCTGAAGTCATTTTTCAAGTTGATGACTCTGTCAATAATAAAAAACGGGGACAAAAACAGCCCTTGCTGAGTTTCTTGCCGGTTCTTCTGAGTACAAGGTAGTACGATGGCGTAGTTTCTAGACATTTACGAGTGCTTGTAAAACCCTAAACTGAATAAATGATTTTGATTATGATTATAATGATTGATTATGATTATGACTATGATTACTGAGCAGAATCAGCTAGGCATTCATTAGATACTTTATGAAATTAAACCCATTTTAGACGATAGTACCTAATATCTAAGTTAAAAACATTTTTCACAGGAAAGACAATGGAAGAATCATCTTGAGAAATTTTGCGTAGAAGACCCGAACGTTTTAGGAATATATTGGCACTTTACACTTTCTATGTTGGTTTGGATACCTCTTGGCCTTATGGTGATCACGGTAAGTAGTTAATTCAGAAAATCTACAGTCAAATAAGTGTTAAGTTTTACATTTGCAAAAATCACATATAATGTAATACTAGATTTTTTGCGATTACGACCATTACCAATTAAAACCGAGGTCCGTGTCTTAAGATAGCCTCTACTTGCGACGATGCCCCTGTGGTCCAGTATCTTTATAATGAGGGAGATTCTCTCCACCTAGAAAACGTCAGGAGATATTCGCCATTTCCCTGACTGGAGGTCCCTTAATATTCTAACGTCCTGCCAGATGACGCTGTAAAGGCCATGTGCAACCAACAACATTATAGGTACTCCCCAAAAATAACTAGACTAACTAGATTTTATCTAAAATTCACGATTTAACCATTGCGAGGACGATACTATGAAACCATGAGGCAAACCTTCTGGCAAATAAGAAGTATACGACATTGTTACCCTACTGTTAGATATACGGGTTTAGCAGCTCATTGAACTCATAATAAGAAGGTAAACACGTCAGCAATATGATCCGATGCGCGACCTATTACTTTTTAATTTATTAATTTCATTGTTTCGTAATAATAAAATATTGAATCTATACTTAGTGTCTAACCAGTAGCCTTACCAACCGCGCGTACTCACTCTTACCTTTTCACCATTCGTAAACCATTCTATCACACCATACTTTAAGTTTAGATTTCCTGTGTATTTTATAGACTTTGTTGTATGCTGTAGTGTAAATTATCTCAATAAACTCTCAGTAATTGTTTCCAGTGTCTTTTAATTTATCAATCTCTTCTCTAAAGGTGTATAATCCATACAATAGATTCTGAAAGTTTATACTTCAATTGATTTCATACAAGAGTTGATTTAATATTACTATTTTTTTTTAAAGTATGGTACTATCATGTGGAAACTGGAATGGAGTGCTCGCAAGCTGTCCGCTCGAGGTGGGGGTCTTGCCGTAGCCAAAGCTAAGAGGAAGGCCATGAGGATATCTGCCCTGGTGCTGCTCGTTGCAGTCATCTGCAGGATCCCGTACACAGTCCTCGTTTACTGGAGGGACCGGTTGAGTTTGGAGATCAACGCAGTGGGTAGATTTTTGGAACGCCTTATTTCATGCAATGCATTCATGGAAATTTAGATCAAAAATTTCAAAAAAGCATAAATTACGTCCCTAATTGTCTTGTCCCGTCCCTGGTCGTCTCTAATTCTGTTGAGTAATATTGAAGCATTTCATCATAAAAAGTGTCGAAAGCATTTAGAAGTCATAATGGTCACTTATCATTGGACCTGATGCTCTAAACCTTCATCGATATTCAATACCAATACATCGTTATTGTACTCTATAGAAAATAAAAAAAAATAGTTCTCTAAGCTTTTCTAAGTATAGAAAAGTTACCAACCACTTTATTAAAATGAAAATCTGAGATTTTATAATTTATTAATAATATTCGCTAATATTTTACAGGTAAGAGGGGGCTATGACGCTTTGTGGTTCGCAGCCAACTACCTCATGTACGTTGACTGTGCAATCAACCCTTTGATTTATGGATTCACCAACTACCGATTCAGAAAGGCTATGGACCGAACTCCCGGCGTGGCTATTTTCAAGTTCGGCTCTTGGTGCTGTGTTTGTTCAATGGCAAGTAACTATTATACGTTATTAAATATTTTAAATTTGAATTGCTACATGTCTTAACCTAAAGAAAATTTTACTAGAAAAAATCTACTCGGTCCTGGACCCCGTCTGAAACTTGGAGCGCGTGGATTTTTTTCTAGTAAAAATTTCTTTTAACACTATTATTAGTATTGAGCTTTATGCTTAATTTAACATTATATTATATGCATTGTACACACGACATTAAAAGTCCTGGACAAATTGGTACGTTTTTCTTTAATAACATCAAGTATTTTTTTAGGTTTATTGTAATATGAAACATTAACTTGTTATTTCAAGTATTTATTAGGCTTTTACCAAAAACTTATATATAGTTAAATTCACATGAATTCACTTACAGGATTATTAACATAATCTCAAAATTTTCTTCACAGTGCAAGAGAAATCCTGAGATTCCTGTTGAGCAAACATCGGAGAAGATATTCGTGATAGAAACAACACCGAAACCAAACAAGAAACTTGTACATGTCCTCAAAAATTTTCTTCACATCAAGAAAGATACACTAGAAGTGAGTGTAAAAGCGGATGAAGTCACGAAACCAACCAAAATGACACCAGTAAAACCAGAAAATTAAAAAATATTACAATTGAAAACTATATTTAACTTTTGAGTTATATTTCCATTGGTAAAGTTAATAAACTAAGGATTAAGACATAAATAGCTACTTTTCCGATTATGTTTTCTTATCTCCTTGTTGTAAAACTGTATATACTTATAATATAATAAATAACTTAAACAAAGAAAATAATTTTGGGATATGTTACGGTTACAATTTAAGAGCGGGGCACATAGCTCGGCGAACCGATGAACAAGTGAACACACGGTGCTTCAATGGCAACCTCGCACTGGGAAGCGAGGTGTCGGTAGACCCTCACGAGATGCACTGACGACATCAAGGGAGTCGGGGGGATCCACTGGGTACGGAGAGCGCAGGATCGTTGCATATGGAAATCCCTTGAGGAGGCCTTTGACTAGCAGTGGACGTACATCGGCTGTTGATTATGATAATGAAAATTTGAAATCACAACTTGATGCCGCGTTCAGATGATCGTCGAACGACACAGTTCCGTTATTTTATCATTATTTCAATAGGGTATTTGACAGTGTATATATTCCTTTATTTAAGGTACATTACTTAGTAATTATGATACACTATAATCATATTCTCAATCGGAATAATAAATTATATGTATTAATTAATTATATATTTTGACAGTGTTAAAAATAAAGTACCAATTGTTAGCATCTGTGTTTAGAATGAATATTGGCAGGGGTTTTTACTATTTTTGCAATAAAAATATTCATAATTTTACTAAAAACTAACGAAAAAGATAACAGTTTTCTTATCTATCGTCACGTTACCCAAAACGCTTGGGATTGGCCGAGCCTAAAATGACGACGCACGCAAGTAAACTTCCGGTTAAAGTAACATTACATTGTATCGTTTGACGTTTTAATAACAGTCGTGTGACGTCACACACTAGTAAGACGCCATATTGTCCTAAGAAACGTTTTCGCGGCAACTTGAAAATGGAGTTTTTATTTGGTTATTTTTAATGAAATACACAACAAAATGATGAATATCCACTTTTTACGGACTCTATAAACATTAGTCAATAACATCAGATCGTTTTCTAAAACTTGTCAAATACCCTATTTACTATGCAAGATAGGCCTTAGCTTTCTATCTATATTAGTTAATATTCTAGGTCGTTTCATTCTGTGCTTTCCAATAGTTGTGTTAAGGCTTGAATCTTTGCTTCTAAAGTTGGTCGCATTTCGGGCTCCACTCTCAGTATGTTTGCTGCCTCTTGAAGTAGCGTCATGCTTTCCATGAGTTGATCCTAATAACAAATATTCGTTATAAAAACTATGTAACTTTAATAAATTAACCGTAATATTGTTTTTTTTATTGGTGCAACACATTTCTTTTTAGTATTAAAGTGAGACACAGGTGTAAACTCAAAGGTTCCGAGCGAGGAGGTTAGATCTAGCTTGACAGCTTAATTTGGCTAGCTAGACAGCGAATTTAAAAAAATATGAAAAGTTATAGTTATATATAAGTATATTTTTTTCAAATTCGGTCTCTACGACGAGAAAGATGGATTGCAAGTTATGTATAAAATATATTTAGCAAATGTGCTCTATTAAGTTATTACTAGCTGCGCCCTGCGGCTTTAGTAGATTTTTATTTTGAATTTTTGTACATACTTGAATAGAAAAAGCGTTTTTAAATTGCAGTAATATCGTATTTCCTAATCATATTATACATACATTACAATAGAGAGTGTTTTCCGTTATACTTTAATTAGACAAGGTGGCTTTAGCCAAGAGGTGTAACGATCAAATATCTCTGGGAAGCAGTAGCTCTTACGCCTGAGCAGGAGATCTGGAAGATTTTAAATCCTCGTTGCGTCCGTTGTGGCTCTGTTCATATTTCCATACAAAACTTCTTGAAATTTTACGAGTATCAAGATCGAATTTAACTATTCAAATTCGATGTTGGTTTGTGTTAAGGGTACAGATGTAGCAATACTTTTGGATTCATCTACTTACTTGGGCACCTTCTCTTGTTATTTTTTCGGCCTCGTACTCTCTCTTCGTCTGGACAGCCATCACGGCTTGCAGGTCCAAGAGCAAGGTACCCCGGAACCGTGACCATCCTGGCTCAAGCTGATCTGCCACCTCCAGGAGATCGTGGCACAGGTCGATCTTACGCTTCAGCAAGTGGTCTGATAATTCTGAAAATAGAAAACCATTTATTAGATTGTTACGATTTTATTTCTATGCATTAAACTTTAAAAATGTTTACATCTAAAGAAAATTTTAATAGAAGAAAATGTAATCGATCCAGGTCCCGCATAACGTCTGAAAAATGCCGAGTGGAAAACTGCGCTCACGAGTTGATACTTAGATTAGGTTAGGTCAGTGTTGTGACCATAACGACACAAAAAAACTTCATTAATAGAGAAACTTCAGCTAAATATTACGACGTGTCACCACCGGGGCCCAGAAAGTACAGTTATACAATTTTTGCTAGTAAAATTTGATTTCTCGAACACTGGATAAAATTTATCCGACTGGCATCGTATACGGTCAAACTAGAGTTGACTTGTGTTAATAGGGGTGATGACGGGGTACAGTAAACGAAATTCTATTTAGTCCGTCAGTTAGATGATCAAAAAATAATGGACACGTATTTCTTCTTTGGGCAATCAACCAAAAAATGACAAAGTTATAGCGCGTCAAAGTTTGGGAGTAGAGGCTCGTGACGTCACTTTTGAGTGATTTTTCCCTTATAAGTGTACTCAAACGTGACGTTATGCGACTTTTCAAATCAATATATCTCTGCAATGTTTATATTATGTGAAAAAAGAAAAAATACGTGTCCAATACTTTTTGATAATCTACCTGATAAACGAAGAAAAAAAAATTAGTCATCATCCCTATTGATGTAATGTGACGGATGACATCTCTCTGTATTTGATTGGGTATTAATTTATTGAACAGTTAAATTTTATCCGAGTTTTGAAAAATCGGCCTTTAAACATTTGTTACTTACTTAGGATAAAACATTCCACTAAACAGTTCACACTCTGAGGGTATTTTAATGTTTTTTTAGTTTGCTTTTAATATCTATCCAGCCCGAGAGCAGAAATGGGATTTACGATTGGGGGTTAGCGAGCTTACCCAGAAACAGCCTATATACAGTGGCTTTCAAAAGCCCGATTGTATGCACATTTGAAAACAGAAGCGGGCACGCAGAGAATTCATAAAATAAAGGCTTTCTCATCATCATCAGCCTATAAATGTCCCCAATACTACAGGCCACAGGCCTTCCCTGTGGAAGAGATAGGGAGATTGGCCCATGATCCACCCCGCTGGCCTAGTGCGGATTGATGGGTGCTAACGACTGCAGATGCAGCCGGGACCAACGGCTTTACGTGCGTTCCGAAGCACGGAGGAGCTAGAGATGGTAAATTTTGGATGGTAATTTGATGACCTCCGCCTTACGCGGAGCCCGCTTAGCGGGCGATGGGGCACGAAGCGGATCTCATTTCCGTGCCCTGCTTAACGGTTCGCACGCTATCAAAGTAAGAACTACCACATGAGTAGTATTTACTCATGTGGTAGTACCTAGAGGCAGAAAATTTTATTTAAAAATGGGGTACGGGTCACTTAAAATGGTATATATTTTTACGGGTCACCTAAAATGGTATTATTGTTTTTCATGAACCCGAATTTGATATCAAATCCAATTATGATATTTAGAGGCCAGGGTCACCTAAAAATGGAACAAAAAGTCAAAAAAATTTTTTGATGTGAAGTATTCACATTTTAGCGGCATTGTACACTTTTTTTTGTAGGGGAAAAGAATTGGACGAAACACAGTAATATTTTATTTTACCGTATTATAATAATAAGTCTCTATCTAGAACGTCCACGTGGCAGCATTATTGCGAAGAAAATGCATTTTTTTTTCAATAGATGTCGCTAAGTGCGCTTAAATGTGATTCATGTAAGTTGTTTTTCTGAGAGATAAACTTTTTAATTTAATATAATTTGTCATGTTTGTGTACGATAGCGCAATAATCAAATATTGTACTGTACCACATACATGATAGTACTTTTATACTGATAATTAAAGCAATTCGTGCAAAATTATTCCCTAACCATTCCAAAATATCAAAAATGCACAACGTTAATATTCAAGTTTTCACTTCTGCCGGCACTCCCGGAGTGCAACCCGTCGTTTTTTTTACAGTTCAGATATCATGAACTATCAAATACCCCGGATTCGCACAATTCTCGCTTATTCATTTGTTCTGGTATTTTTTGAAGTTATACTTCTTTAGGCGCGTTATGAAAAAATGATGAGAGTGAAATTTTAAGATGCGCGCGCAACATTGTAACAGAAAAGTAACATGAAGTCGGCCGCTAAACCGCACATTACTCGTAAGTCTCGAAAAAAAGCTTCCAACAAAATAGTAATAGGATCTCTTAGTCGCACATGTTGGGACGCTCGTCGCCTCTGATCACTGTTTTCATATTTATAATATTTATCCACATGTTTCTTGTTTCTATATTCTTAACACGTGTTATAATGTTATACAAATGCGAAATTTATATGTGCTAATAAATTTTATTCAGTAGTGATTTAAATTGAAAATTTTGATTATTTATTAAATTTTTCAAATTAAAACTGAACTGTATTGACTGCGTTGGCTATCCTTTTCCAATCCTTTTATTATCTTATTGTTATTAATTATCTGCATGCAATTAAAAACTATTTTTTAATAATTCCAAAAAGAAGTATAACTTCTCACGCGCGTACTTAAGTACACGCACCCATATTTTTTTTTACATTACACGACAGATATGAGTTTACATTGCGATGTATCTACCGATAAACCAATATACATAAGGATTTTTAAACTATTTTTGCCAACTGCTGTTCGCATGTATTTGGCCAGTACAGACATTTCGATTTATCTTTACGTTCTTCTAGGTAAATAAAATGTTCAAATTCCAAGAATGTTTGAGATACTGTAATTCACTGGGCTCATTCCTTTACAACAAGTACTGTTGCTATTCTATTTTCATTTTACACAAATAGTTGGCATTTACCAACTAAACTATTCGTCTGGTAGAAAGACAGAAGTGATAGTCGGTTAACACTTGTAATAGTACCTACTAGCAAACCAGTGAACCAAATGTTCACCAAAAACTGATTTAAAAAAAAATGTATTTAATTAATTGAGAACTTCAGAGATTTTGTGTGGTTTCGTTTGAAATTCGTGATTTCTCGAAAACCGGAAGTGCTACGTTACTCAAATCCGGTGTGTAGTCTTATCAGACTATTCTTAACTTATAACTTAAATATTCTCTTTATCTATCTCTTACGGTTTGGCCGCTGAAACAGCACCACAGACGGACGGACGGACGGACTTGTCTAATAGTACCTATATAACAGAGAAGTCCAGGACCTCATCTTTGTGTGAAATAATGGTTTCCCATACAAATTCTTATCCATTGATATTTCACATTCTTCAGATATTAAACATTTGATAGAATGAGGTTTGTTTATCCAATTTTCTCTTTGACTTCATACCGAAATTCACTAAAATCGATTAAGAGGCTTAGAAGTGAAGAGTCAATTTCGGTCTTTTAACGGATACTTTAAATAGTGTACGATAGGGTAAAATTATCACAAAAAATAATGGTTAAACAAACTTAGATTAGAACTCGCTAAATCACTAATAGGAGGACACCTGATAAGAATTACAGAGTTAAGGGTTGCTCCACGGTTGTTAGTCCACGCATGTTTAAGCCGTAACTGGTCACAACTTTAACAGATACCAATTACATATGAAATTGCAAATACTGCATGCAGGAGTATAAAACAACAAACCACGTTATGTGAATCTAGATTTGATCTTAGAATGTAGGACAACATAATTTAAGTTAGTTATAAGTTATAACATAACATAGTATAAGTTCAGAGGAAATCAAATATCTAACCCCCTTATTCCAAAACGTGGATAGAAGTTAGACTTGGTTTAAACCTAATGCTGTTTTATATTGAAAAATGATGCTATCCATAATTTTATTGGGATAGCATTATTTTTACACCGGATTTAACTAATGCAAAAGTTTTGTGGTGAAAGTTTGCAATTTTTAGTGCCTTTCAAGGTTCCGTACTCAAAGAGTAAAAACGGAACCCTATTGCTGTCACTCTCTCAGGACTTTCTGTCGGTCCGTATGACACGGGTCTCTAAATCGTGAACTGAATGTGTAAAAGGACTGAAATTTTGATATTTTATGTACATTGCTTGCCTGCGAATTCCAGGATAAAAAAAACTGTTTAGAGTTAGTGTGAATCCGTTCAGCCATTTTTGCAAGATTGAGTAGCAAACTAGAGTACTTACAGATTTGGAATATTAATAAGTTAATGTGGATAATAAACCTACATGATACAAAATAAAGTTTACCTGACAACGCGTGTCCTTTTTGGTTCCCGTAAATTTGCAGAAGAGCCAACTTGGCTTGCACCACCAAATGATTATTAGGATGTAGTGCTTGGCTATATTTCTCTATAAATTCCTCGAACTCTTTGGGTTCGTCCTTTTTAAGTTTCTTCAATTCCTGAGACAGGGCATTGTTCCCCCAAAACATTTGCCTACTTAAAATGAAATGATCACATTTTTCACATTTCCACGGAGCAGCTTCGTCTAAAGGATTCGAGGATATAAGCATAGGTCGCTTCTCTGGTCCTCCACTAAAAGGTCTATTACAAATTGAACAATAAATACTACCGATATAAGTGCCGAATTCCGTTGGATCCTTACACCTGTCACAATCACAGTCAAAGCATTTAATTGTCCGCAAAAGCTTTCGTCTATCCAAAGTACCTAACAAAGTTTGAGTGTAAGTCGCCGTTATCATTTCACCCTTAGAAATTGGCACAGTTGCAATAACTGCTAAGTTATAATCGTCACCTAAATATATATGACGCGTGTTGGTCTTGCAACTGTGGTTCATCATCGATGCAGTTACATAAATAGCTCTCAATCTTTTTGTTCCATCAAGACACCGTACATCAAAAGCGTTAGTATCGTATATCGACGCTACTGTCAGTATGGTCGCCTCGTCAAATGGTAACCCGAGAACTTGAATTATGAAAGTCACTAAATTAGCTTTCAGAATGACATACAGAGGTGTATTAATGCGATCTTCTAGATGGGATTCGAGGGCCATAATATTCTCATACTGCTTGGGGTTGGATTCCCTCATTAACAACACCCTGAGAGGTGCTATAACGCAGTATGCTGCTTCCGCTTTATCTGCTTGTTCATATTTAATGGTGCACTTGTAATTCCTATCAGTCATCACCTTGCATTCTGACTTGTGTATATCAGCCTTTTCACATTCAGGCCCACACATTGGCCAGTTGCATGACTTGCACTTATAGAAGTCGAAAACGTCTTTGATCTTCATCGGTTGCAATTTCTTTCCGCAGGACAAGCAATGTGGTGCAGTCGACATTCTTGGTCCAATGATGGCGGGTTTTTCTTTCAGAATCATTTCTCCTTGCTTGATGTCCCTCGTAGCTACCATATGGCGGCCATACGTGTCTGAGAACTGAACTTTGAAGGCGCAGCATTTGAACTTGTGACCTTCGCGCCACCCTAGCTTCTGGTGAGCCTTGGAACAGTAGTACACCAGCTTGCAGCCTCCGCATGTTTGATTGGCCGATTGCTGACATATTTCACAAACTGGAATTTCTTTTTTAGGGCCGTTCATTTTGTAATTATCTTAGCGCGTGTCAGGGCGACTCGCACCCGTCGTGGTGCGGTGCTAACACAATACTCGTTTTAAATAGATGTATTCAATTAACACTAAAGAACTGGGAGAGTTGCCAACTGAGTATGAATATTGAAAGCGAATGCCCTTTTGTAATGGACACTATGTTACAGTTGGCATTACGACTATGTTATAAGTTGTTTTCTGACAGGAACAAATGGGTCAGTCATTAAGCTTGACAATTTTCTGAATTTACATTGCGAAATTGCGATACGTGTTTGTGTTTTCGGTACCTTTTTTATTTTGTTGTTTTACTATGTTTGTAATAATGTAATTATCATCATCAGCCTATTGATGGCCCCACTGCAGGGGCACATGCTTTCCCTATAAATGGAATAGAGAGACTGGGACATGATCCACCACGCGGGCCCAGTGTGGTTTTGTGGGTGCTAACGACTTAATATGGATTCCCCCGATGGGAGCGCCCGTCTGGGGAAGCAATCTCTACCTTACAGAAGACCACAAAAAATAACACTAACTTTTGGCTGTGTCGTGTTTCTGTTCCCCAAGATCTGAATGAGCTTACCCGCCCAAATTTAAACCTCAGATCAATAATACTCTTATGAGTAAGGGCTATTATAACGTTGATGATTATATTAATGATCATAACTAATGCATGGATAGTGTTTCTTCTCTTCTCTCCCGAGCTCCTCCGTGCTTCGGAAGGCACGTTAAGCCGTTGCGTCCCGGCTGCATCTGCAGTCGTTAGCGCCCACCAATCCGCACTGGGCCCGCGGGCCCAATCTCCCATCTATAGGGAAGGGCTGTGCCCCAGCAGTGGGGATATTAATAGGCTGATGATGATGAAGTGTTTCTTGTAATGTAACGGGTATTAGATATTTTTCATAACAATAATGTGGTATCAAATCCTATATGCTTAAAATGAAATGCTCACTATAAAAGTTATTGTATATATGTATCTATATTGTTATTTATATAATGGAAGGTGACTTCAGAAGTATCTCTGAAGTCATTTTCCAACTAGAAATAATAAAAATATAGGGAGAAAAAAAAATAGCCCTTGCTGAGTTCCTTGCTAGTTCTTCTCAGTACAAACAAGGTCTCCCGCCATAGTTTTGCGAACCGATGGCGTAGCTCCTCGACCTTCACAAGAGCTTGTAACAGCCTAGACTGAATTAATGATTTTTTGATTTTGATTTTGTTGGTGCAGGGGATTGGGTCAGGGTACGGCGCGAGAAATATTTTTTGTATATACTGTGGTGGCCGCTTACCATTAGGCGAGCCAAATGCTCGTTTACCACCATTTGGTACTAGCGTACAGACGTGCTCATCGCGCTTATAAAATAAATTAACAGTTAAATAATAGTGACCTAGTTTAAATAGTGATTAAGCGTATTATGAGGTTACGCTCAGTGAGTGACAATTATACGTGCATAAATTATAATAATGGACATAAATATTTAGTGTAAGTTCTTTTTCATTAATTATGTCAAGTGAGAGCCCCTTTAATCGAAGCGGCATTACTCGCCGCACTCCTCCCCCAACGACGCCCAGCCATCCAACTCAAGACCAGGATGATATGGATACCTTAAAAATAGTATCTACTCCGGAAATACAAAACTGGCTTACCTCAATTGAGCAATATTTACAAGAAGTATGTACCATATCGAATGAGGGAAAACTAGTATCTGACCACAAACTTAGGATTAATAATCTCTGCCGAAAAGTTGGACATGGAGTTGCGCAAATGGCTGTTCAATATCAGTCTTTAAAGCAAAAGGCGTTATCAACTCACTCTAATTTGCAAATTTTAAAGGAAAACCATGACCTCTCAGCTTGTCTTACTGATTTTAAAAAGACTATACAGGAATCCTGCACTAAATCTGCTACAACAAACACGTCTTTTGCAGACATGGTAAAAAAGGGATCCAACAACTTTATTCGCCCTAGCCCTGTCAGTTCTGTGGTAATCTACCCAAGCAATGCTGCACAAAGTAGAGACGAAACAAAAAATTTGGTCCAAAAAATTATTAGCCCTGAGGAGATGAAACTGAAAGTACGTGGTCTTCGTAAAGTAAGAAATGGAGGAGTGATCGTCAGCACTGAGACCAAAGACGACATTCATAAATTGAAAAATTCAGTGCTGTTAGCAAACTCAGGCCTGACTGTTGATGAGACCAATAAACGCAAGCCGCGTATTATAATCATAGGAGTACCTTCATCTATGACTGAAAGTGACGTCTATAAGTGCATCTACGAGCAAAACGTAGCAGAATCGTCATTAAATATATCTAGAGATACTTTCCTGAACTCTATAAAACTGAGCCACAAATCAGGAAAACGAGATGCAGACACCTGCAACTATATTTTAGAAGTACCTGCTACTATACGCAAAGCCTTAATTATACAGGACAGACTTTTTATTAACTGGAATTTTTGCTCGGTACGTGATTTCACACTTGTAACTAGATGCTACAATTGCCAGCAATATGGCCATGCCGCTAAAACTTGCAAGGCGACAGCTTCTACCTGTGGCCACTGTGGCGAAGATGGCCATTCTCTCAAAGACTGCACAAAAAAAGCCGATCCACCAAAATGTGCCACTTGCGTTAAATTTAAAAAACCGTGCGGCCATAGGACCGGAGATGCCGAATGTCCAGCTAAAAAAGCTGCCGAAACTAGGTACATTAATACTATTGATTATGAAGGCGCCTAGAGCGCCACTTATTTGTTATAATTAGAACTTTACTATGGACATTAATATAATAAATGAAATAGATGATCTATCTATGTCTAATTCATGTTTATGTGAAGTCGAAGAGTGTAGACAATATCTGACCGCTTATAAAAAAAACTAACTCATTAACTGTACTCACCCAAAATATACGTAGTATTTATAAAAATATTGATAATTTTGATATTTTCCTCCATAGGCTTAACTTTGTTTGTGATGTAATTATACTAACCGAGTGCTGGTTAACAAAACGGAACGGCAACCTACCAACAAGGCCAGGTTATAACTTATTTTATAGTCAAAATAATCACAACCAAAATGATGGAATAGTTATTTATGTTAGAGACTCCTTGCAAGTCACCCTCGAGGAACCAGCTCTTCAGGGTTGTAGTTGTTTGTTGGTACATATTAACCAAGATACAGTTATTGTCGCAATATATAGATCCCCATCTGTCACAAACATAGATAACTTCAACGGAAACTTAGACCAGATACTTCAATCATTAACATCTTTTAAAAATGTAATAATTACGGGTGATATTAACATAAACATTATACCCGACATACATGATGCTGGAACCCAAAATTATCTCAATCTATGTTCGTACCATGGTTTTTACCCAGCCCATACATTACCAACACATCAGAGTGGTTCTTGTCTCGACCATATGATGATAAAATCTAGGTCAACATATCTAACACTTGTCACAAAAACGCCGCTTACCGATCATTCCGCTGTCTTACTAACCTTAAATTTATCGCTGCCTAAACTGAATCATAAACTAGTAAAATCTAAGTTAAACATAAAGAAACTCGAACACGATTTATGCAAGCTTGACTTTGCCCCAGTTTTTCAATCGACGGACGCGAATGCATCTTTGTTGTATTTAATTAATAATGTTGAACAAGCTATATTACATAATACGTCTGTAGTTGCTTCAAATAAACAATATCAAAATATCAAACCTTGGATAACCCCGGGTATTATTCGATGTATAAGACACAGGGATAAACTTCATATGAGGACAAAAAACTATCCCGATAACCTCACATTGCTAGTTATCTATAGGAGATACAGGAATTTCGTTAATAATCTTTTGAAAAAATTAAAAGCAAATTATGAAAAAAATGAACTACTCAAAGAAGGCAAGGATAGCAAACGCCTTTGGAGACATATTAAAAATTTTACCTACACTTCAAAAAGGCACGAATCGTGTTCGAGTTTACTATTAACCCATCCTTCACCGCTTATATCAGCCAATTATGTAAATAACTATTTTATTAATATGGGAAAAGACCTTGCAGAACGCCACCAACTTCTAAATCTATTTTCTCAGTCACTTAACGCTACCACCAGTAGGAATAGTTTTGTTATGTTAGATACCGACCAACAAGAAATTTTACAAATAATTACAAATTTGAAAGATGACAGTGCAGTCGGCTTTGATAACATTAGCAATAAAATCCTCAAAACTTTTAAGCATATTTTAATACCACCGTTAACACGCATTTTTCAAATCTGCCTCTCGCAGGGTATTTTTCCACAATGTTTAAAAAAAGCAGTAGTTACTCCTGTCTATAAATCTGGATGTAAAGATCAAGTAAATAACTATAGACCAATATCAGTGCTTCCATCCTTATCAAAACTATTAGAAAAAATTATTAACAAAAGGCTTATTGACTACCTGGAAAAAAATAACTATTTGTCACCTACGCAATTTGGTTTTCGGGCAAAGTTGTCAACAGCAGATGCGGTGCATAACCTGACTAACTATATTACTCAGGAACTAGGCAAAGGAAAGCATACTCTAGCTGTTTTTCTTGATTTAGCAAAAGCGTTCGATACCGTTTCAATTCCGAAGCTTCTAAAAAAGTTGGAAGCATTGGGTATTAGAGGAACGCAGTTAAAACTATTTGCAGATTATTTAGACAATCGATCTCAATGCGTTAAAATAGGAAATATTAAAAGTGATTACCAGAAAATGACCTGCTATGGTATTCCCCAGGGAAGTATAATCGGCCCTACCCTTTTTCTCGTTTACATCAATGATTTATGTAACTTTAATTTAAAATGTGGTAAAATTTATATCTTACGCCGATGATACGGCCTTGATTTTTAGCGCCAATAGTAGGTCAGAATTATATGAGGTAGCTCAACTTGGCCTTAATGGTGTAAATAACTGGCTTCGCTGCAATTTACTAACACTGAATACTGACAAAACCAATTATATTCACTTTTCTATGCGCCAGCCTTGTCATGGGTTTACAAATCCTGACTTATACGCACACCAAT